GTGGATATTCCCCCCTCCTATGACCTTGGGCTATTTGGCCCCATAGAGGCTGCTGATGTGAATCCTTTAAAAGAGAGGGGGGCAGGCTTCCATTCACCCCGGGGCAGAACGGAAGACCTCGGAGGCTATATACCTTGCTGTGTACCCTGTGTTTCCCTAACAAATCCCTGATAGCCATTTGAAAGAGCTCCTGTGGAATCACATATATTGCCTACGTTTGGTGTCTGCGTGGCATTTCCTCTCCAGTCATCTTGCTGTTGCCCTGCTTCCCATGCGTGCAAAACCCCAAGCATTCACAGCTCAGTCCTGAAACAGGACCTGCTTTCCACCCCATCCTCATCCCCAGTTGCCTTGCAAGAGTACAGCTGAGTTCTCTTCCCCAGGGCACACAGGCAGCGCTCACTAGAGCGCTCCCAGCTTCCTGCATCCTGTGCCCACTGCGGCCGCCCAGCAGAGTTGCTGTTATATTCTGCCTCCTCACTAGCGTTTTTGGGGCCCCTCAGCACCTCCTTTTATTTTCCCTATAACCTAACTCTGTTCCTTAGTAGCTTCTAATCCTGCTAAGAAGTCACAGGTGTAGAAGTAAAGCACCTGCCTTGGCAGTACACTTGAGACACCTGCTGGCAAACATGTCATTGCAGTTTAAAATCTCCAACCAAACCAGCCATCAATACCTCGCAGCAGCCATACCTCTCTGGTTATCTTCCTGCCTGGTTATTTAAGAGCCTAGCACACAAGGACGATCTCCAGAGGATTTTATCTGAGGTAAATTACTGGATATTTTTACATTTTAAACTGATAAATTAGATAGATAGATAGATAGATAGATAGATAGATAGATAGATAGATAAATTTTTTATGGTTTGTACACTCATTCCACACCAATGGCGGATAATAGCACCTTCCAGGAATTTTAAAACCCTTTTATTTCTACTATGGGTGAAATTTTAGATGAGATATAAAACCTACATGGGAATATAAATTCTTAGCCATAATTGCTATTTGTTTGGTAATTCATGTCATATTTTTAAAGAAACCTATGAACTATTGTCAAAACTCTGTTATCTCCCCAAATTCTATTTGTCCCCATACTTGTATTCATTCATTCTTTCTTTCTTTTTCTTTCTTATACAGTATTCTCAGTATTCTGTCTGCATGTATGCCTGCAGGCCAGAAGACGGCACCAGATCTCATTACAGGTGGTTGTGAATCACCATGTGGTTGCTGGAAATTGAACTCAGGACCTTTGGAAGAGCAGGCAGTGCTCTTAACCACTGAGCCATCTCTCCAGCCCTCTCTGTCACCTTTCTTTGGATACAAATATATCAGAAATTTAAACTTTCTGTTTAGATACTAATAATGTTTAAGTGTTCCACAGTGAACAATAAATTTCCCTAACATGAATCTCTGAAGTTTCCAGAATGATGTGGCCCAACAACAGTTCCACCTGGACCATAATGATGCCATCGAGCCAATAAACACTGAGAAAGGATCAGTTTTGGATTTAAAAATGCTCAAGACAATTCCAAATTAGCTAGCTGAGATGGTCCACCTTCTTACAACACTCTAGCCAGAACTTCAGATAAGAAGGTTAAAATAGATTTACCTGCTACTTAGACACTGGCTACAAACCTTACAGCTAGTCAGTCCTCTTGAGACTTAACAATCATTTTAATTTTTTTTATAAGATTGCAAAAAGATTTTAAAGATAAAATCACACATCGCCCCCAAGACAACTGAAAGTAATTCAAAGAAAATGATGCCCCCTCTCCCAACAGTTGGAATGGATGGTCTTTGAGTTTTCTCAGGATTGGTTATAATTTATTATAGGATTTGGTTGGATAATAATAATGTTAGACTCAGGAATCACATTTAGTAAAGAAAAAGGGAAAAAGATAGGATAGGATAATGTATCTGCCTGTAAACTACTTTAGCAACTATTAGTTATAGACAATTTACATTGATATAAATTCTTGTATATTGATACTTGTGTAAAATTATTTTGCATTCTTGTCTAAGATAATTTGTATATTGATACAAATTCAATATTGTATTTGTTATATTGTGTATGTTCCTATTTCTACTTGCAACATTTTTGCACACAAATGAAAAATTATTTTGTCATACTATATATATATGTGTATGTTTCTATATTGGCTTAAGATACTTTGTAAATTCATATAATTCAAGGATATTTTTGTCATATTGTACTATATGTTCCTACCTCTAATCAAGATAATCTTACACATTTGTTAAATTTCAAGGTCATTGTCCTCATGTTGCAAATCTGTTTAAAGATTATTTGTTTTGAATATGAAGCCTTAGTCTATAAGCTGTATAGGCTATTGAGAATTACATGTTTTGACTTAGGTTTCTGTCCTGCCAAGTCCCACAGTCGTTCAATCCCAAAGACACACACATAAATCATAAAGTGGTTGGCTTACTAGCTCAGGCTTCTTATTCTCTCTTACATCCTACATTATTAACCCATAATTCTTACCTTCGTTAGTCACATGGCTTGGTGCCTTTTATCAGTGAGGCATGCTCATCTTGCTTCTTCTGTGCCTGGGTGACAACAGCAGACTGAGTCTTTCCTCTTCCCAGAATTCTCCTGTTCTTGGCGCCCCGCCTTTACTTTCTGCCTGGTCACCCTGCCTATGCTTCCTTCATGGACACTGGCCAATCAGCATTTTAATAAAGCAATACAAGCAACAAATCTTTACAGGGTAGAAGACCATAAGCAAACATGTTATAGTCACCCATGTCTGTCATACTTAGTTAGGTTTTCTAGATGTACAGAGATGTACTCTGCATAGATAGGTAATCGTCAAACACTGTAAAGACCTACAAAATATGTTATTTAAATGTTTGAATAATTTAGAACTACATTGACATGAGGCACAACTGCTCCTGGCAGTACTGAGCTATTCCCAAGAGAATTATGGGCACCAGAGACACTCCACATGGAGTTTATTTTCTTTCTGATGAAACTGGTCTAAGTCCCCCCCTCCTCAGCCCGAAAAGCAATCAGGGTTCCCTGTCCTGTGGGAAGACCAAGGAACCCCCACCTCCATCCAGGTCTAGTAAGTTGAGCATCCAAACTGCCTAGGCTCCCACAAAGCCAGTGCGTGCAGTAGGATCAGAAACCCATTGCCATTGTTCTTGAGTTCTCAGTAGTCCTCATTGTCCGCTATGTTCAGAGAGTCCAGTTTTATCCCAGGCTTTTTCAGACCCAGGCCAGCTGGTCTTGGTGAGTTCCCAGTAGAACATCCCCATTGTCTCAGTGTGTGGGTGCACCCCTCGTGGTCCTGAGTTCCTTGCTCTTGCTCTCTCTCCTTCTGCTCCTGATTTGGACCTTGAGATTTCAGTCCTGTGCTCCAATGTGGGTCTCTATCTCTGTCTCCTTTCATCGCTTGCTGAAGGCTATTTCTTTTTGAAAAGTGTGTTCCGCCACACAGAGCAAGCAAGCACACTAGGCAGGATGTTCACTTGCCTTTATGGTAACACAGGTCATGACCGGGCCTCATTCCATTGACAGGAATCAGACATCAGAATTAATGTGATTGGCTAATTCATAATTGCTGAGAAAGGTAAGGGTTTGAAGGGAAGTCAAGTCTCAAGAGTATCCAGGGCTGGTCAGACAGCGCATACATGGGTTGTCAAGATGGGAAAGGTTTATGGAATATTGGACATTGGTGGTTTATCCACCTTTGATGGAGGGGGAAAAATCTGGCCAGGTGTGGTGACAGGCAGAGGAAGGAGGATCTCTATGAGTTCCAGGCCATCCTGGTCTAGTAGCAAATTCCAGGCGACCAGGGGATACATAGGGATCCTGTCACAGAAAAAAAACAAAATCTGACACTGAGAAATGAAAAACCAGCCAAGGACACAAAGGACTTTGGGGCCGAGAAACCATTTTGGAACAAGATCACTGGGGTTTTAAGAAAATTAAGAACATCAGAGGTAGGTGTCATGGCATGCTTATCACCCCAGCACTGTAGAGGGAGATACAGAAGGATCAGGAGTTCAAGACCATCCTTGTACACATTAAGGCTGAAACCAGATGGACCTACTAGAGATTCTGCGCCAATTAAAAAAACAAACAAACAAGCAACAATACCCTCTACCATCAAAAAATGTAAAACTGGAGGCTGGGACATGAGTCTGATCCCAACACTGAAAAAAAAGTATCAATCTCTTTAGATTGGAAATTTCAGATAAAAACTGGAGTATAAAATGAGGCAGTGGACCTAACACTCAGCAAGTTCAGTCATGTGTCTCTTAACCCGGACTTCAGTGGTAGCATGTCTGACTAGCATCCATGAGGCCCTGGGTTCAATCCCAAGTACCTTGAAAAGGAAGAAGAAGAAGAAGAAGAAGAAGAAGAAGAAGAAGAAGAAGAAGAAGAAGAGGAGGAGGAGGTGGAGGAGGAGGAGGAGGAGGAGGAGGAGGAGGAGGAGAAGGAGGAGGAAGAAAAGAAAAAAATTAAGCTTCCTGTATCATCTACAAATACATTTATTCCCAGGATGAATAACTAGCTATTCCCAAATGAACCAAAACTGAGCAGAGGCAATGGTCACAGGTTGTTGATCTATCAGTTGGGCTAAACAGGAGCTAAGCATCTCTGAGGCCTGCAGGCTGTGAGTCGCCATGCCCTCCTGCCTATTCCTAAGGGCACTGGTCATCTGTCAAGCCTCCCAGAAGAGGAAGGCACATGACTGAATAAGGATGCCCAGGCCCTCAGGTAACTGCATGACAGAATTTCTCCCATATTCTGCAAGCTCCTGCTACATCTCACTGAGAAGGAGCTTAGAGACACAGTGGGAGCTGAGGGTGGCAACTCAGGGGCTCAGTGTAGGGTAAGACAAGTGGTACTGGACCTGCTAGACCCTGAAGTGGGGTAGATGGGGACACTTCATAAATGAGTCTCAAATCTTCCCAGTTCCACACAGCCTGGAGTGACCCTGGATATAAGCCTGGCCTCTCCAACAGGAATTCAGCTATCTGTTCCTGATTGCCTGATGGTTCTTGGGCACAGCCACATATCTCAGCTTCTTCATGACAGAGGGCCAGCCCAGCAGTTGCTGGTCCCACATGTACTCTGGGGACAGCACCTTTGTCGGCTTGTGGTACAGCAGGTACTTGTTCAGATGACTCTCATCATGCCACACGGCCTCAATGCCATTGGCCTTGTCCTCCACCATAGCCTGATGGCAGGCCTTGGTGAGACGGTGCACCTCCACCACTGATCCCCCAAAGAAGGCTCCCATGTAATAAAAGTCACCCTCGTCCCGGGGAATGTAGGCCCGGGACTTTGGCCGGCGCTCGTAGGTAAAGGCCTCTCGGCTACTACCATAGAAGCCGGGATGCAGGGTACCAAAGAGTGCTGAGAGAATCTCCACACCCACGTGGTCTTGGAACTTCATGTCCACATCTGCACACACCAGGTAGTCCACCTCCTGCAGAAAGCGCCGCTCAGAGAAGTCGCTGATCATCTCCATCCTGTGCATGGACACATCCTGCCAGCGGGAGTAGTTGCGCACGGTCAGCACCACCAGCTTCCGTCCTGCCCCCAGGGGCACCTGCGGCACCTCGGCAGGATGGTCAGTGAAGACATAGTAGATGACCTTGTGTCCCACCATGAAGTGCCTCTCTGCTGTCTCCAGGAACAGTTTCAGGAACACCACATACCTGTGGAAGATGACAAAGGGGTAAGCAGAGGTTTAACACAGCTAGGGCAAGACTAACCAGGACAGGGGCTCACACTGCAGAAATCATGGCTACCATGAGGCTTGAAGCAACAGCATCCCCACTTTACAGATTCTGACCAGTCTACAGGCTGTACATCACCTCATCCTCCTTTGTTCTAGAATGGTATTACATCAGCACCACATCTTAGTAAGTAATGCTGAGGTAGAGGTCAGGAAGATTCCAGTCAGACAGCAGAGATGACTCCAGACATAGGGATCCAGCTAGATATCCTGCAGGTATTTCTTGTCTTGGCAGGCCCCTTAGTAGGGCACCTCTCCATGAGTCTGTCACCCTCCCCAGAGAGGGATAGCTCTATCCCAACACATTCCACATCCCACACCCTTGCATTGGCCTGAGTAGAGCCTGTGCTAATAGGGCCCCACTTTCTAAACCCTGGAGGAACTGGATGAATCTGTAAGAGCCTGGTACCCATACCCCTCCTTTGTGGAACTCTCCAGGGTCCTGTCTCAGGAAAGGAAGGGGTCTCTGTATCCCAGACCTTCCTCATCAGAGACTTGAAGGTGCCTGTGGACAAGGCATTCAGTAACTCACTTAATCCCTAAGTCTTATTCCAAATTCACTCCACTAGAGGAAGGAAACATCTCACAGATTTATGCAGTGAAGGGGAGACAGACATCCTAGAAAGAAGGGCAAGCCTATTTCAAATCCTCAGGTATAATGGCGTGATGGAGGAAGGTCATTGGCTAATAAAGGCACTGCCCTGGCCCATTTTATTGGTTAGAAGATAGGTGGGAGGAGAAAACAGAACAGAATACTGGGAGGAAGAGGAAGTGAGCTCACAGACTCCACAGCTCTCCTCTAGGGAGCAGACGCCTGAGAGAGACGCCATGCCCCGCTCCCGGCATGAAGCTCCGACCCAGGATGGACTAGGCTAGAATCTTCCCGGTAAGACCGGTGCTCACAGATTATTAGAGATGGGTTGATCGGGATGTGAGAATTAGCCTGTAAGTGCTAGAGCTAAAGGGCCAAGCAGTGCTTAAAAGAATACAGTGTCTGTGTAATTATTTTGGGCATAAGCTAGCCGGGCAGGCAGCCGGGGGTGCTGAGAACGTAGCCCTGCCGCCCTTATTACTTCATATGGCGCCCAACGTCGGGCTAAACCCACTTAAAAAACCTGAGAAGGCTTAAAAGTAAGGGAGAGAGAGTTTAACACAGATTTTTGCTGTTTGTTGGTGGCGTGCTGTAGAGAGATTTCCTGATTCGGCAACAGTAGCAAAAAAAAAATGCTGTGTCATTTTAAAGTGCGACTTCCTGGGGCTGTGCCGTCATTGAGATCTCTGTCTGGCTCCTGCAGGAGACAGAGCTTTTGAATAGAGCATTTGGAGTAAAGTGCTACAATTAGTTTGATGGCAACTAGACTCGCTGTGTTCTCGGGTCTGCTCTGCTTGTTAGAGGCAAGCATGCGCCTCATCTAAGAGAGGCTTCCTGACTCAGCTTTAGCTGCAAAGCCTGCAGCTCATTAAGAGGTCCTGCCACGAAACACTTAAATGGTGTTGACGAAAAGCTGAACACATGCTTTTCAGTTTTCAGCCATAGCAGGAAAAAAGCTGCGCCATTTAAAAATGCCGGCTTTCTGGGCTGTCCTGCCAGGGCAAACTCTGACTCTTTTACGCAGGGGGTTCATGTGGTTTGCAAACACAGGCTGCTGAAGCTCGCTTGCTGGCAGGGACCTTGAAATGCCATAGAGTTGTTGCAGTAAACATGGCTACAGCCAGTACCTCAGCCATGAGGCTGGAAAGCTAAGGAATGGACTGGATCCAGCCGGCAAAGCCACGCCTTTAATCCTACTGATATTGCTTGGTAAATTAAAGACTCGTGTGGTCAGAAAAAGAGAGATATACAGTAAAGAGAGATTCAAAGACAAAGAAAATTTCTAAATGGTTTGAAGTGTCTTAAAAATATATGCAGACTAAAAGTTGAAGTTCTTAAAGTAAAAAACAAAAAAAAGGAAGAGAGTTGTTGTGTGTGGTAGCACACGCCTTTAATCCCAGTGCCTAGAAGGCAGAGACAAACAGATCTCTGTGAGTTCAAGGTGTAGTAGTGTACACCTTTAATCCCGAATGCCTGGGAGGCAGAGACAGGCAGATCTCTGAGAGTTCAAAGACAGCCTGGTCTACAGAGTTACTTCAGGTCAAAGATACAGAGAACCTATCTCAAAAAGCAAAAAGTTAAAAGTAAAAATAAACTAAATAGAGGTTAAAACAAAGCTGCACAAAGATGAAAAATACACAAAAAATTTTGATACTGTATGCTATTATGCTCTGTTTAAATTGTTTAAATGCTGAGGAAAGAGCAAAAGCTACTAAAAGATATTTATTTATAAATGCTGCTGAGCTAATCCAACATAGATATTTTAATGCCTTGAATTTAAAATTTGGACCTAAGGACATGATGCTTTGGAAAGGAGTTTCTTATTTTGTTTTCACAGAGGATGAGACGCTGTTCATTTCTTCTATTCCGATTTGGTATGATGGACCATGTCCTCCTGAATGGTTCCTGTGCACGCCTTCAAAAAATTGCTTCGCTCAACTGCCAACTGAGATGAAACTAGCACACAGGTTATGCCATTAAAGACCTAATTAATGACGCCCCCATTCAGCAGGAAGCAGCTTGGAGAGAAAAAACTGCGCCCATGTTCCCAGATATGGTTTATAAACGTTCTTTTACATTTAAAGGGGGATGTGATATAGATATGAATAATTTGCATTAGTATAGATTTTGCTTTATTGATAGAGATTTAAGGTCAATTTTGTTATATGTATAAGTGTTTCTGATTTTGATTAAGGTATTGTGATTGTGTAGTTCATTTAAATATGTACTGTATAATTAAGAAATATAGGTTGTTAATGGATAATCATCGATAATAGTAAAGCTTGTAGTCATGTTAGTTAAGATTTTCTAGATATATAGAGATATATTTTAGATAGACATTCTTCATGTCTTTCAAAGATTACAGAATAGGACATTTAATGTTTTAATAACTGAGGACTTTTCATGACAATGAGACACTCTGCTCCTGGCAGCACCAATCTACTTCAAGAGGAAGATGGGCATCGAAGAGGCTCGTTATGGAGTTTTGATAGCCATTTGGGCAAGAAACTGCTCTTGCCTGGACTATTGCATAAACTGGACACAGAGAACCCACAGAGAGAGGACTACTGAACTTGCCTAAGGTGAGATGATCTTTCGGGGTTCCTGATTCATTTTGAAAGAGTCTGCGAGACATTCTGCAGGACACAACAGATAGTGACTGAACTGACTTTGAATTTTCCTGCTTTATGAAAATGTCTGCTGGATACCATGGTCCTGAAGGCTGAAGATGGATGCCCCAACGGTACAGAGGAACTTTGGGTGACTGTCCAGGTAGCGAGATGTCTCTGTCATTTCTAGAGTTTTAAAAGTTGCTTTTTTCTTGTTTGCTTAGGTAGTATTGTATCTTTCTGGAGTCTTTGATGGAGTTAAGAATAGTTAGTTATAGTTCTCCTTAGTTATGATAAAGATTATTGTAACTTTTACTTGATAACTGTTTTGTTATATGTAATTTTGCTATGTTAAAGCCTTTTTTTTTTGTTTAAACCGAAAAAGGGGAAATGATGGAGGAAGGTCATTGGCTAATAAAGGCACTGCCCTGGCCCATTTTATTGGTTAGAAGATAGGTGGGAGGAGAAAACAGAACAGAATACTGGGAGGAAGAGGAAGTGAGCTCACAGACTCCACAGCTCTCCTCTAGGGAGCAGACGCCTGAGAGAGACGCCATGCCCCGCTCCCGGCATGAAGCTCCGACCCAGGATGGACTAGGCTAGAATCTTCCCGGTAAGACCGGTGCTCACAGATTATTAGAGATGGGTTGATCGGGATGTGAGAATTAGCCTGTAAGTGCTAGAGCTAAAGGGCCAAGCAGTGCTTAAAAGAATACAGTGTCTGTGTAATTATTTTGGGCATACGCTAGCCGGGCAGGCAGCCGGGGGTGCTGAGAACGCAGCCCTGCCGCCCTTATTACTTCAATGGCGGAAGGCTTTTAACCTAAATTCTAGGTCCTCTCCCAGTCCAGGTTTTCACCTGTTTCAAATGGCTGCTTTTCCCTAGATGCTTTTCCCAGGGTCATGTTTCCCCACCATGGGAGCAGGGATCCCCATCACCTGGCAAGTGTGCCAAGCCCTCCCCACCTGTCATAAACAGGCAAGTGGCTGTATTCCCTGTGCAAAGGTGACCACTGGGCTCCCGGCTGGTTCCCTCAGAGGCCAATAACCTACTGACACCTAGCAGGGCTCTTGCTCATGCACAGCAGCACCAAGACAAAGTAATGTTTGTATCTTGTTACTGTCAGTTGCTAGCTACTCCCTAGTAGCTGCAGACATTCTCAAGGTGCCTAAGATCCCTCCAGCTGAGCCCCAAACCTTTCTCAGGTCCGATTGGTACAAAGGCCTCAGAGCTATCCTTGAACCTCACCTAGCAGAATTCTCTATCTACTGAAGGATACAGAATTCTCATATGCAGACAGCACAATTGTCTCTCTCAGTTCCTGTACAGCCTTCCACACTGTAATGTTGTCTGACCTGATGCCCACAGTTTCCCAAGGCTCCCACAGACTCCCACAGGCTCCCATAGGCTCCCACAGGCTCCCACGTATCCCAAAGGCTCCCACAGGCTGCCACAGGCTCCTACAGGGCAAGGTTCTTGTCTGAGGGCTAACATCAGCTTGACCCAGAGTCCCAGAGCTACTCCTTACCCCCAGGATTAAGGCTTCTCTCAACTATTTCTGTCCTCTTCCTGCATCCGAGGATGCTTCAGAGGCCGCAGCTCTGCTGGTACCTGGTCCCTGCCAGCCCTGGGAACGGGGCTCCTCACCTGATGCATGTGCTGAGAGATGCAAATGGCATCTGCCTGAGAGCACAGAGACCTGGAGGCAGTTGGCCTGGGGTTCTGAATGGAGGCAGAGCTGGGCTTCATTCCCCCGTGAGCCCATCAGTAGTCAGGAAGGTGGCAGAGTGAACAAGCCATACCCTGTCCCACTGCATCCTAAATACAAGCGTGGAATTTATATCTAGGTATGTCTAGCCTCCACCTTTGCCATTGTGCACATATGTACATGTGTGTGCATGGCCATTGTATAGATTTATGTTTATTTGCCTGTGTGCCTGTGTGGAGGACAGAGGTTGACTTTGGGGGGGGGGTCTTCTGTCATTTTTCCTTTCTGTTCTTTGGACAGGGTCCCTTCTCTAACTCTGAAGCTCAATGTTTGCCTGTGCTGTCCAGAAAGCTGCCAGGATCCACTTGTCTCTCCCCTCCACCCTGTACTAGGATTACAGGCGTGTGCCTCCATGCCCAGCCTTTACATGGGTGTTAAGGATCAAATTCAGGTCCTCACGTCCCTGAAGAAAGTACTTTATCCTCTAGCCATCTCTCCAGCACCCTCTGCTTACTTTTTGATTGCAAACACGGTCAGTCCAATGGTGGTGTTCTGAAGCCTGAACTGCTCATTCAGGATGTCGATGTTGAAGGTCCCTTCCCAGATGATGGGAGCCAGCCACGGAGTCAAGACAAGGACATCTTTCCTACTGCAAGGGGAGAGAGCCAGAGGCAACATGTGATCAAACATGTCTGCAGGAACCCTTCTCAGATTCTCACCCTCAGCTTCCCCCAGGGCTGCCCACCATTCCTGAGTGAGGGCTGGGCCAATCAGCAGCTCTCACTGACTACCCCAACCCCACTCTAAAAGCAACTGAGTGCTACCACTGCAGCCTGAAAACCCTGGTGACAGAGACAGGAAACAATGAACAGAAGCCCAGATGGAGAATGAGAGCCAGAAGATGCTCTGGGCTCCAGAATGAGATGACCTTAAGTCTCGGAAAGGGTTGTTGAAGTGAGTGCAAAGAGAATCATAATTGGGTTTTTGGTTTTTTCTCAGTTCTTTGTTTTTCCAGTGCTGGAGACTGACCCAGGGTCTCAGGTGTACTCCTGAACTATTCCCCAGAGCAAGCAAATCGTCCTTCCGTACCTTTGCGACTCCTGCACTACACATGCACTGACTAAATCTACTCACCTGGGTGTTAGCACCTTTGGCTGGGTGTAGACCATCCTGCAATAAGAAAACACCAGAACTCAAGGTGACAAGAAAGTTCCTGGGATGCAAGTCACTGGCAGCTGTGCACCAGACACACAGACCTGAACGAGTTGTGGGCATCATGTCTGTCCATGGTCCTGGGAGCTGAGGATGAGCTGAAGCAGGAAGATCACAGTCTTGACCAAAAGTAGGGAGAGAAACCATGATATCTCCTACCCCACTCAAGGATAGGAGAGACAAGGACTACTTAAATTCACAAACCTGATGGGACCAAACAGTTTTGTCCCTGGTAGATGCCGATCACCCCACCTGGGCCAGCAATCTGCCTTGATCCTCTTCTGGCTGGTGGCAACAAAGTCCTGGTTCTCTCTGTCTGTTATGATTTATGGCATGAAAGGGACCCTGACAGGTCCCATGGCATATAAGGACCTGTTAAGGCACCAGAGAGACCTTTGTGGCAGATGGGGCCAAATCACGATCCATGACAAATACACCATGCGGACAGAATTTGAGTGTGGAGTTTATTGAGGGAAGGGTAGAAGGAAATGAAAGGAGGGGAGAACAGGGAGGGTAGGAGAGAAGGGAGGAGAGAGAATCAAAGGCCTGTTTACATCTCCAGTATAGCAGGAAGGGAAAAACACAGTCTGTTACAACACACAGAGGACCAAGATGTGAGTAACCAGCCACTGGGCAGGACACACCACTCTCTAGGGCCAATTTATGGGGCCCAAACCCCAGGCCTCTCCCCCACATGCCTTAGCTTCTCTAGTCAGCCAGCAGGAGAGTTTCCTGCAGGTAGGTACTGCCCCAGTACCCACCCCCATTCATTGGACTGTGCAAGCTATAAGCCCCAACCTGTCCCCAAACATTCCTATCATCCCCCAAAGTCAGTGGAAATCTGAAACACAGTCTGCTACAATAAAGAGAGGATCAAGAGGGTGAGTGACCAGCCACCCAGTGGGGGCCTCCACGTGGGGGCAAAGCCCTGGGCTTCTCTCCCACCTGACTTGGCTTCTCTAGTCAGCCAGCAGAAGAGTTTCCTGCAGCTAGGCTGCCCCAGTACCTACCCCCATTCATTGGACCCTGAAAACTACAAGCCTCACTCCACCCCTAAACCTGCCTATCCTTCTGCAACCTCAGTGGAACTCTGAAATACAGTTTGTTACAATACAGAAAGGACCAACAGAGAGAACCACAAGAGAGGACCATGAAGGAGGACCAAGAGAGAGGACCAAGAAAGGAACTCTAAAGCACAAGCTGTTACTGCACAGAGTAGACCAAGAGAACAGGCTAAGAGAGACCTCAGTGGCTCCCTAAGACACAGAGAGTGGCAGTATAGAGCAGATCGAGAACAGTTCCTAAAGATGAAAACAAACACAGCAAGGATTGGACCAAGATGCAAAGACACTGCCAGCATCAATTGAAGAAAGAGATGGGTAGGCACCAATGTAAGAATTCATTCAACAACATAAAAAGCAACATTGTAACACAAGAATCCAGTGGTTATACAACAGGAAGACTTGATCATCCAAATCCAGAAGAAACAGAAGAAAATGATTTTAAATGTAACTTTATGAAGATGATGGAAACCTTTAAAGAGGAAGTGAAAAACTCCCTTATTAAAGCAACAGAGAAAAAAGGTAAAAAATTGGAAGCATTTAATAAATCCCTCAAAGAAACCCCAAAAACCATGAAAAAACAATCAAACAGGTGAAGCAAAGAGTATGAGATTGAATACTGAAATGGAGGCAATAAAGAAAACACAAACTGAGGAAATTATGGATATGAAAAATCTGGGTAAATGAACAGGAACTACAGAGGCAAGCATAACCGACAGAATACAAGAGCTGGAAGAGAGAATCTCAGGTGTTGAAGATACTATAGAGGAAATCAATTCATTCATCAAAGAAAACATAAAATTCAACAAATTTTTAACACAAAACATTAAGAAAAGCTGGGATACCATAAAAGACCAAACCTAAGAACAATAGGGATAGAAGAAGGAGAACTCCAGCTCAAAGGCACAGAAAATATAATCAACAAAATCACAGAAGAAAACGTTTCCAACCTAAAGAAGGATATCCCTATGAAGGTATAAGAAGCTTACATAATACTAAATAGATATAATATAATAATCAAAACACAAAACTAACAGAAAGAAGAAAGAATATTAAGAGCTGCAAAGGAAAAAGATCAAGTAACATATAAAGGTAGACCTAACAGAATTACACCCAACTTTTCAATGAAAACCATAAAAGCCAGAAGGTCCTGGGCAGATTGTTGCAGATGCAAGCCCAGACTACAATACCCAACAATGGTTTCAATCACCATTGATGGAGACAACAAGATATACTATGAAAAACCAGATTTAAGCAATGTGTATTCAAAACCTAACCATACTAGAAGGAAAACCCCAACCCAAGGAATTTAACTGTGCCCACAAAAACACAGGCAACAGATAACCTCCCACCAGCAAACCCCCTGCCCCTAGAGGGAAACACACATGCACACCACCTAAAAATAACAGGAATTAACAACCAGTGGTCATTAACACCTCTTAATATCAATGAACTCAATTCCAGTGAAAGGGGAAGAGGAGGAGAGAAGGGGAGGAGGAGGAGAGAATGGGATAGTTGTGATAGAGGAAGGACAGAAATGAGAGCAAGGAAAGAGATATTCTGATTGAGGGAGTCATTCTGGGCTAGTAAGACACCTAGCACTAGAGAAATTCCTGGGAATCCACAAGGATGACCCCAGCTAAGTCCCTAAGCAACAGAGGAGAGAGGACCCGATCTTAAATTGCCCTGTTATCAGACTAATGAATATCTTAAATATCACCATTGAACCTTCATTCAGCAACTGATGAAAACAGAGTCAGAAATCTGCATCAGAGTACTGGGCTGAGCTCCCAAAGTCCAGTTGAAAAGTTGGAGGAATGAGACTATGAGCAAAGAGGTCAAGATCATGATGGAGACACCTACTGAAATAGTTTACTGGAGCTATTTGGAGCTCACCAACTCCAGCTGGACAGGGAAGGAACCAGCATAGGACCAAACTAGTCCCTCTGAATGTGGTTGACAGTTGCATGGCTGAGGAAGATGGAGGGGCCACTGGCAGTGACACCAGGATTTATCCCTACTGCTTCTACTGGCTTTGGAAGAACCCATTCTCTCTGGATGGATATCTTTCCCTGCCTAGATATAGTAGGGAGGGCCTTGGACCTTCCCCCAAAATACTATGACTTACCCTCTCTGTGGAGTGGATGGGATGGGGTGGGGTATGGAGTAAGTGGAGGAAATGGGAGGAAGGGAGGGAGTGGGAACTTGAATTGGTATGTATAATGAAAAAGGATTGTTTGTTTTCTTTTTAAAAAAATAAAATTAAAAGAGCAGGGAGGGAGAGATTAGGAGTGGACAGAGCTTGTCTTTTAAAGGGACAGGGTACTGTTTGCCATGCATTCTGGCACAACGCAGGGTGTGACACACTGTGCCAGGTTCCCAAGGGACAGGGCCCAGGTGAGCCTGAATATTAACACTGTCTCTGTCAGAGATCAGCCTTAACATAGGTGTAAAGTTTCCTCAAAAGGCCCGGGGCAATGTATGGCAATGGGATGTCCCCACAAAGGATGTCAGGCCCCAAGGGACAAGAGTCACCTTTGCTAGTAAGCTGCCTTCCCTATGATGTCTTGTAAATCAGAGAGTATGGCTGGAGAGATGCTCAGCAGTAAGAGCACAGGCTCTTCTTGCAGAACAACGGGATTCAGTTCTCAGCACCCACATGGATACCCACAATGATGTGGGAGTCCCCTCTGTGTGCTGTGATTATCATTAATGAATAAAGAAACTGCTTTAGAACCATAGTAAGACAGAACTTAGGTAGCTAGGCTGAATGCTGGGAGAAAAAAGGGCAGAGTCAGAGAGATGCCATGGAGCCACCACCAGAGACTGATGTGCTAAAACTTTGCATGTAAGCCACAACCACATGATGGTGCACAGATTAATGGAGATGGCTTAAATTAATATATGAGTTAGCCAATAAGAAGCTAGGGCTAATGGGCCAAGCAGTGATTTATATAATAATGTTTCTGTGTGGTTATTTTGGTTCTGGGTAGCAATGATGAACAAACAGCCTTCTACACCACAACAGTCTGTTACTTCAGTTCTAGGGGATCTGAGTTTCTTTTCTGGCTTTTTGGGGCTCTGAAATGAATGTGAGAGACATACATGCAGGCACAACATTCAAACACATATAAAAATTAATCTTTTTTTAAGACAGAGAAGAAGCCTTTAAATAAACATGGAAAATTTCTCCACAGGGATAAAGTTTGATGACCCCTTAGTGGATGAGTCTGGCCAGTCACATAAGATAAACCCTACAGGACCCCATCCCTAGGAGACACTACTACAGAGCGGCCGTGCTCAGAGGAACAACACAGAACAGGCAAGATGAGTTCCAGGACCCCCAGTAGGGCTGGGCAATGGGGAGGCGGTGTTTAACGGACACAGTTTACAAGATGGGATGTTCTGGAGACGGATGGTGGTGATGGCTGCACCACAGCATGAATGTGCTTACTGAACTGAACATTGAAATGGTGAGCATGGTAAACTCATGTGCTGTGTGTGCTGCCCTGGGAATGGGGTGAACAGCTGTAAACTCAACTCTGTACCTCAGGAGCCAGGCAGACAATTTAAAAGTCAAATGACATGCAGTTAGTCAATGCAAAGTGTAGGGCTAGGTGCTCCATTTTGCACCATGTGAGGGCAGGTTACCTTGACAGGGCTACAACTTCCTGGACATCCAGTTCTCCGACAGCCATACTGCAAAAGGAGAACACAGGAGACAGATTTTGACCAGGTACATAGAAACTGGAGGAAGAAGCATAGTTCCTGAGGGTACAATAGTCTGTCTGTTACAGTTAAAGAAGAACATAATGGTGAACACTCCAGACACTATGCCAACAACATGAAATCAGGCACTGTCATCCCATAAATTCCAATGTCAAACACTGTGGCCAAGGTTCACTTCCCCACATACCAGCCATTCCTGTGTGGATCCTAGCAGAAGCATTTCCAGAACACAGCTGATTCTCAGCCCCTCCCATCAAAGAGTGGAGTTTATTGCTGTCCTTGAAGAGATAAAGTGGGGCAGCAGGGTCTGGCTGACTTCAAACCCAGCTTCTTAGAGGCAGGTCTAACGTGTAATAGGTCTCTGATCTAGAACCTTCCAGCCAGGCTGAGAGTAAGCCCATTTGGCCCCAGGGATGGGACACCATTAACCACCAGAATGGTGAGAGACCTCCAAGAAGATACAACTATGGCTACATAGCCAATGTTAAAGAGACAGTCATCAAAGGTGTGAGTGCCTCCCAACTCCAATGAGGGAGAGTGGGACAGAATGTTTCGCCGCAGAGGAAAACTGGCATAAGAGAGAACTGGTGGGAACAAAGAGCAGGTGGGAGGCAGTGTAGTCTAATGGGAAGCACAGCACAGATAAAGACCAAGACCAGAGCTCGGCTCCAGGGCATGCATTGCTTGTGAAGGAATGCTGAGGGGCAAGCTGCTGGAGAGGGTCAGCAAGCAGGATCCTACTCCTGTGCAGACAGATCATTAGCTACTGTAAGGAAAGTAAGGCTGAAACAGACAGACAAACATACGGTTGATACAAGGTCACTGCCGGTCCAGGAAAGTAGAGCAAAGCTGAGGATGCCTTCCCAAAAGGCAGACTGACAGGATCTAGTGACTGTGGGGATGGAGGGACCTCCAACTTGGGTCTTGTTGTAGAAGGCAAAAGATCTTGCACTCAACAGGCTGATGGGGAGATGGGTAGGGAAGAGAAATTGTTCTAAAGGCTGCCAATGTAGGTAGGAGAATGAGGCTGAAGCCAGAAAATGCAACAGTGTTCCCCAAAAATCACTCCGTTTAAAGACAGCAGAGGGCAGTTGAGGATGCTCTGGGCAGCCTAGAATAGGACTAGACCCATCCATGCAGAAGTACAGGCAGAATCCACAGCATGTAGCAAAATGTTCATCTAGTCAGGAACTGATGTAGGAGTGTCTTCTATCTATCTGTTGTTTTCATTGGTTAATTAATAAAGAAACTGCTTGGTCTGATAGGTCAGAACATAGGTGGGTGGAGTACACAGAATAGAATGCTGGGAAGAAGACAATGAGGCAGACGCCATAGCTCTCCTCTCCAAGATGGACGCAGGTTAGAATCTTCTCAGTAAGCCACCACCTTGTGGTGCTACACACATTAATAGAAATGGGTTAATCAAGATGTAAGAGGTAGCCAGTAAGAGGCTATAGCTAATGGGCCAAGCAGTGTTTAAACGAATACAATTTGTGTGTTGTTATTTCGAGCGTAGAGCTAACCATGCGGGAGCTGGGCGGGACGAAAAGCAGGCTTGCTCGCCTCATCACTATAAGTAACCAAAACACATACACACATGTATGACAGATACACAAACATGATATATACATACATATAAACAAATATGATACACATATTACACACATATATGATACATACATATAAGACACACATATTCTACAAACACTCACCTAGTCACAGTTCCTTGGTGTCCCAATTCCTGACTTCTGTGGCCCAGGAATCCATAGCTATGGGAAGGGTGTGCACAGGAGCAGCTGTTCAGGACACAGACCTGAGACTGCATGTCCGTCCCTCCCTCCAGAATGTACCACTGTACCCAGCACAGTGAGCAAACAAGTTCCCAATGGGTATTCAGGGCCACGTGACAGGACTAAGCATGTCCACCACACTAAAAGAAGTGGTGGCAAGAGGAAGGACCCTGGGCACAAGGTCTGGACCTGAACACATGTAACAGTGGCAGACAGCCTGTTCTCCATGCCAGGTACCTATAACTCAAGATCACATCTGGGACTATTTCCTGATTGCATCTACAGAAGCCCCAGTAGACATGGCAGTGACTTTGCTCTGTCAGGGTTCTCAGACCATCTGCATCTAGAGAGAACTGCCTCTGAGCTCCCAGGCCTGCCTTCTTCTCCTTCCACAGGCCCACCCACATAGCTATGGCCAAATGACAGGGCATGCAGCCTCAAGATCCCTTTTGTGAAATCAAAAGAGGTTTGCAAGAGAGGCTTCACTAAGAAGAACAAAAAAGCTTGACATGCCAATGTGTTGGAGCAAGAGCAGCATCCCCAAGACCGACGTGGTAGTGCGTATGCTTGTGTCTTAGGGTCCCCATCAAGGGTTTCATGAGCTGTTCCTCACCAGCCCGGATTCTTACCCAAAGAAGACCAAGACGAGCACTGTGAGGGGAAGGATTCCAAGGTGAGGCGAGTAGCATTTTTGTCTTACTGAAAAACAGCAGCACGAGATCCAGTTACTCACCCCCTTCTTGGGCCTGACCCCCCTCCAGTACTCTCCTGAGATTCAGAGGTCATCCCCAGGACCACACCCACCACTGTGCCCTATCTCAGGCAGCCCCAACTACAGCTGAGGCTCCAGCCTGGCTGAGCACTCTGAGGGAAAGAAAGTTGTTTACTTCCTGCTCCTGATCCAGCTGCTCCCTTGGGCCCTCAAGGTTCCCCAGGGGCCCCATGTCCTCATGCCACTGAGTACTCTTTCCCTGGGTAAATAGAAATGAACCAAATGAATATCTTGGGGTCACTGTGGCTCCATCAGAGGAGCCTAGGGAAGCTCCCCCTCTGTCCCCTGTAGGCTCACATCCACAGGGCCAGCAGCTGGTCTGTTCTAGGACTTTATTTCACGCTGAGGTTGAAACCCAGGACTCATGAGTATTGGGTAAGCATTCCACCACTGAGCTATGCCCCTAATACCTCAGATGACTGTCCCATCTCTAGAAGTTATGTATTCTCATAATCAAGTTCAAATAGACCTAAAAGACATAGATCTAAATAGACTCAGGTGTGGGCTCTGGAGAAGAGCTCAGTGGGTAAAGCTTTTGTCATAGCCACACAAGCATAGGGACCTCAGTTCAGATCCCCAGAGCCGAGGAAAAGCCAGACATCTGAAATCCCAGCACTCCTGAGTTGGGAGGGGGTGGGAGAATCAGGAAGCTCACAGCCAGCTAGCCTGCACATAGAGAGGAACAACAAAGAAACCCTGTCTCAAACAAGGTGAAAGGCAAGGACCATCACTCCCCACGGCTGTCCTCTGTCACTCACAGGCACACCCACACTCACAGGGTGTGTTTTTAGAGGTTTATGTCTAAAAAGCCTTATGTCTCCCTGTCCCAGCCAACCAGTTACTTTCCCCTTTAAACCACCTGATCTGATACTTTGTTTCTTATTTTATTTGTCTATTTAGTTGCACGTGTGTGCACCTGTGTGTGCCACAGAGCAGTAATGGAGGTCAGAGGGCAACTTTCAAAGGTCTGTTCTCTTTCCACACTGTGAATTCCAGGTACTGAACTCAGGTCAAGTTTGGCTGCCAGCACCTTTACCCACTGAGCCATCTCAATTATCACTTCTTATGCTTCCTCTCCACGTCTCCACATCCTCCTGCAATGGAACAACTGAGTTCTAAAAGCTTCTAGACACAAACAAAGAGAAACTGACATGCGAACTTTCTTTGTCCCCATTATGTTCTGCTCCCCCTTTTGGTGGTCACGGAAATCTAACTGAAAGTAACATTTCCCCAATCTTTAAATAGTTGCTAATTTTTAACTTTTAAAAACAACTCCTTTAGGGCTGCAAAGATGGCTCACTACATAAGAGCACTGACTGCTCTTCCAGTAGATGACTCACACAGCAGCTCACAATTATTATTAACTCCAGTTTCAGGGAATCCAATTAGGTATCTGGCCTTTTAAGGCACCAAGCATACCACTGGTGCACAGAAATACATGCAGAAGAATGCTCATACAAATAAATATAAACAGTTTTATTTATTTATTTTTTAAAAAATGCCTGGTGTACTAGAAAGGAAAAATCAAGGTATTTTAAAGGCAAAAGCAAGAAGTAATGTGTATACTTTTTTGTTCCTTTCTTGTCCACTTGGGTTTTTTTGGTTTGTTGTTGCTGCTGTTGTTGTTGTTTTGGGGTGTTCGTTTGTTTTGAGACTGGTTTATTTTCCATATAGCTCTAGCTGTCCTGGAACTCAGACTGTAGACCAGACTGAACTTGAACTCAGAGATCCACTTGCCTCCTGCTCTGAGTGCTGGAATTAAAGGCATGTGCCACCAATGCCACCAATCTAACTATATAATCTAATTTAAATCTAACAAAATATGCCCATTTAATCCAATATGGTCTCTGACATATTTAAGGCACCAAGAATACAATTGGTGCACAGAAATGCATGCAGACAGATGCTCGTGTACATAAATATAAATAATTTTATATTTAAGATATTGTTTGATGTGCTTTGAACAAGGAACCCCCTTGCTGAGTATGCCCCACATTCCCCTCCTCATCTATATATGAATCAAGAGACCCATCTGCCCTCTTGGCTGGATGTTTACAGAACACAATGCTGTCAATACTCACCACAGGATTGTGTGAGACCTCGTCATTGTTTTTATTGCTTTTTTAAAAAAAAAATGCTCTGAATAGTTTCAACCACTTAAGGAATTACATTCTTCCTGTCACGTCATTCTAGCAGTCATCAAACACTACGTGGTGGGAGCTGGAGAGGATGCTCAGGGATTAAGCACACTTGCTGCACTATCATGGGGGCCTGAGCTGGGATTCAAGTAAGCATGTAACACAAGAATTTCTGAAGGAAGGCCTTTAACCAGGTAACACACACTCTGATGGAGGAAGGTCATTGGCTAATAAAGGAACTGCCCTGGCCCATTTTATTGGTTAGAAGAT